TGACCTTTGCTGGAGGACTTGAAGATGGAAATTGAAGTTACTTGTGTGACACTAGGCTAGAAAAGAATGTTACTATCTACAGCTGATCATCCTGCTCAGCTGCCCCTTTCCTGCTCCTCTGTTTAAAGCAGAAGGATTTTCTAGTAATTTTCCCTTCAGTGTGTTCCATTGGTATGTCCAGGTTCTTGGCTTCATTCCACATGACATGAAGTTGTTTCTTGGGTCCCATGTTCTTCTTCCACCTTCCAGAGTGATCTTAGGTTTGTTCTATATATACTGCGGAGAAAAAAATATATGTATATATATTGTGTGTGAGAAAGAAAAAAATGTAAATTTATTCCATCTTTCTTGAAGCAAAATTCCCCAATAGGCCAGTTTAAGTAGCAAGAATAGAAATTTAATACACATAATTACTTAGGCAGGAAGGCTACAGACAGTGAGGCAACCCAGACATTAATGACATTAATAACATGTCAGAGGAACAAAGGGAGACCAGGAGTTGTTCATTCAAAGAAGAACTACATAGTTGCACAGCTTACATTTGGACTATCTATCCTTAGGCGCTGCTTTGAACTTCCTGTCTTAACTAATCTACTGGGTCCTGCACTACCTGCACCCTTCCAGCTGCTGCAGTGGTGACATCCCTCCAGGCTGGGTGCATGATTCCATCCCCTGAAAGCCACTGTCTGGGGTTTCTGTGCTCTTCTATCACTTGAATTAGAACATTGCATTACCAACTATGAGATTTGTCATTTCTAGCAGCTAAGGGACTGGGCAATCCACCTTGCATGTATGGTGGTGGGAGACAGTAGTTACATTTTTTCTTTTCAGCTCCCTCTTAGATTTTGGTAGACTTTGCTGTAGACTACTCTACATATGAGAAACTCTATATAGCCTGAGATCAGGTGGCTCATGTTTGTAATCTTAGCTATTTGGGAGGCTGAGATTGAGAGCATTATAGTTCTGGTTCAGACCAGCCTGAGGAGAAAAGTTCATGAGACCATCATCTCAATAAAAAAAGCTAGACATGGTGGCATGTGCCTATCACTCAGCTAGGCAGAAAGCACAGGGACTGCATTCTAAGTTGGGCTAGGTAAGAAATGAGACCCTACTCAGAACATAATTAAAGCAAAAAGGGTGGAGGGCATGGCTCAAGTTGTAGAATTCTTGTCCAGCAAGTGCAGAGCCCTGTGTTCAAAATTTTAGTACTAAAAAAGTCTCTATACCCTGAAGGGAGATACCCCACCTAACTGAGCCACTGGATGTACTGCTTGATGATTCATTGGCCACTATATATTCTTGCAGTCTATCTCTCTCATTCCCTTTTCCATCTTTCTTATAATTCACTGGAATTACAACAGCATATAAAAATACAAAATGCTAGCACTTGCCATTTCCTCAAACAGTTTTTGAAAAACAGTTTGAATTAATTAATTATTATTATTTATCTTTTTTTAGGAACCTCAAGTCAACAAAATAAGAATGTAGTTAAAAAAGGGATCCAAGGGCTGGAATTTTAGAATTGAATGGCCCACCTACTTGAAGGGCAACAAGGACTCAATTGTTTTAGGGCATAAGGTATGAATCAAAAGGCAGAGTGCCTCGTTTTCAGCTTGGGGAATCAGCAGGGTAGACTTTGCCAAAAACCAGGCCTGGAATATAGCAAATATCCTAAGCATGGGCCCAAAAACATAAAGTAGAGATTTACATGTACATAAGCCAAAGAAGTCAGCGTTCCTGAATTCCTTTGTGCCTTCCATCTTTCAGAAAGTGTCCCTAACCACTTGCCAGAGAAAAACAATTTCTTCTTGCCTGGGGGAACACACAATGACCTAATCTGAAGCAGGTGCCTTTCAAGATGAGGCTTGTTTTTTTCTAAACATACCCCCAACATACTTGATTGCCTTCTGGCTAAAAAGCAAAGTCAGGTTTAAGCACAGCCTGAGCAGGAAATTACAAGTTCTATTCTGAGAAGAAATAAACCACATGCCAAAGGAATTTCAGGATCCAGCTAATAAAGGGTAGCTGGAAGCAGGGGAAGATGCATAGGAGAGCATCATGAATACAGAAGTCCTCCGTTATCCATAATATTGCTTGATTAGAAAGGAGACAATATTTAACAGAATCCCAACACTGAATTAATGTCTCTCTCTCTCTTTTTGTTCTGGTGCTGGTGCTTGAATTCAGAACCTGGGTGTTGTCCCTGAGCTGCTTTGCTCAAGGATAAGCTCTCATTCACCTGAGCGCTTACAGGTTCATCTCTGGTGTTTTGGTGGTTAACTGTAGCCCCTTTAGTAGCTAGAATTATAGGCATGAGCTACTGGTGCCTATATGACATTTAAAAACCATTATAACAAACGCCACAAAATGCCTTTTAATTGTGGTTAGCTATAGGGAATGTGTGGGCTCATCCATGCATCATGTGGACACATTACATAAATGGTTACATTTAACTGAATGAATGGATGAACAGTTTCTATGTCTACATTTTAGGAGACGAGGTGGGCAAGAAAAAATTTTGTGCTTTTTTTTTCTTTGTAAGGACCTACAACTATTTGGGACAGTTCAAGTAATTAACAACTAAATTACCAACCTTATTTATTATTTAAATTACTAAACTTATTTGTTATTTCTCTACCAGTAACTTCAGATAAAAAGAATCTTGAATGGGCAAAAAAATAAAAGGATCCTTGCAGCCTGCCAAGGCATTAATAATAAGAAATAGCAATTTACATTATTTATAAGGAAGCTATTTACATTACTTAGCCCTGTCAGACACAGTAGTTGCCTCACTCCATTCTTTCATTATAGAGGAAAGAATAAAGCAAAGTGACAAGCAAATAGAAGAGATATTATAATGGCTGCATCTTATTATAAGAAAAATAACATTGCTAACACAGTAAAGATGCCTCAAATATAATTGGAACTGTGCAAATGGAAACTTCCACCTCACCAGGATGATGATTCAGAATCTAACACCTATTAGTATTCAGCTTCCAAAAACTAATGCAAGTTAAGCATTGTCAACTTAAGTATGTAAAAGGAGGAAGATGACTAAGATGTAATGTTTCATAATTCAAGTATTTGAATTTAATTAGTCACATTTCTTTTACCCCTGACTTTGAAATCTGAATACTACAAGAAAGGTCATTTGTAAGAACAAGCAGACCACAGGGCAGAAAAATCCCACTTTGTTTTCTTTTTCTTTCCTCTTCTGTGCCCACTTTAACTTAATTGAATCCTGCTATTTCACTTTCATCAATATAATAGATAGTTCTCAATAGCAAGCTGTACTAGCTTTTGATTCTGAAGTGGACAAGTCTGGCATATATCAAAAAATAAGAGGAAGATGAGAATAAGACAGTTCACCAAGCTGAACTCTCAAAAATGTCTATCAATACTTTTTTGGGGGGGTAAATGTCCAAGGATGAATTTTTCCCCATTAGATCTAAATTCTCTAAGTTCTTTATTTTTAACTGCTCACCTAGAGATAAGATAGAGTCTTTAAAAAATACATTTTGCTTCCAGCTCTTGGAAGCAGAGGCAGGAGGATCCTGAATTTGAGGGCAGATGTGGCTATGTAGCAAGATCCTAAAACACTGTCTCAAAAAAAAAGTACTATATTTATCCTAATTTAGAGAACTAGACTCCAACGGTGAGGCATCATTGCATTTTACTGCTTTGATAAGAAGGTTTTGTGGTCAGAATTACTTGTCTTGATGAGCAAAATTGCTGACATCTTCCTTCAAAAATGATTGGGGTACAGTACATATCACATACTAGCCTTTTAAATTAGGATAGGCCCACAACACCTCCAAAAAATTAGGTCAGGGCTGAAAGAAATCAGGCTGTGGGCTAATAAGCTTCTTAATGGGAGAATAGGGCATTAAGACCACCATCTTTACTTTTATGTGTGAAAGAACTGGCTGTTTTTCAGTGTGAAGGAACTTTTTTTTTTTTGGAGAGCCAGCTTTGTTTCTTCTCTTAATTTTATAAGGAATGCAGATTATTAGTTGAAACATAAAACATACAGTAATAAATTTGACTCTGGGGCTCATGATATGCAGGGAAAGAACAACTTTCTTTGTCACTAAGTATTTTCCTTAAGACCTGTAGATTGTCTATTAGGAATAAAGTCTCTTAAGGTCCCTGTTTAAAAATGCAAAAATATCCTGAGAGTTAACACTTCAAGCCATTAGTATGTATTAATGTCAAATTATTAAGGTTGAGTAAAATGGACACTAATAAGATTGAATTGCAAATAAATAAAAAATCATAGTTATTAGAGGCACAGACTTCATTTCATATTGCACACACAGAACTGAATGTATAAATGGAAGCAAATGGATCAGTGGCAGGTACTTGATTGTTAAACTTCTTGTCCTAGAGTTTCCTAATTTCGATTTTGAAGCTTCATTTGGGAGGGCTTATTCCTGTAATCAATACAAATTATTTTTTTCTGATCCTGGGGTTTGGAGTCACAAGATTGGCAAATGGTCTGACATTGTGGTTTTACTGACCTTGGTCAAATTATTTGTCCTCCCTAAACTTTGATATCCTGCACAGTGACACACTTAAGATATTAACAGTACCCGGGGTTGTAGAGTGGCTACGAGGATCAAATGAGATCAAAGATCTCGAGACTAAGTTTCAAGTGCTTAGAACAATGCCTAGCATTGTTAAATACCACTAGGGTTCAAATGTGGTTAAAAAAATAGGGAGCGGTAAAGCACAGCCTGGATTTGTGATGGCAAATGTTCAGCTCCAGTCCTCGCTGCTTTGTCTGTTCAGAACCTTCTGGCATTTTGATTTCTTCAGATGTGCCACTTGGACAACATGACAACCTCCAGAGCATCCTTCTAGCCTGGTTTCGTTCTTCCTCTGCACGGTAGGGGTCGCTGTGTTTGCCGGAAAGCGCGCGGGCTGCTTGGTTGCTAGGAGACCGTCGCCAGGCAACCGCGTGTACACACACGCTCCCGCCGGGCGGTGGTGGCTTCAACATGGCGGCGTCCGGCACCTTGATGAGCTCTCCGTCCGATGACTCTCCCTCGACATCATCGCCACCGGAGCTTCCACCGACCCCACCACCGACCACCACGGTCCCGCTGAAGTCACCCCAGGAGTCCAAGGTCTGCTGGAGTCCGCTGCTTCGCTGGACGTGTCCTGAGGAGAAGCTGCCCATTGCCGCGTTTTACGGGCCGTTGGACGGTAAAAACCCTCTGCTGGCCTCTTTCGAGAAGGAGATTCGGGAGTTGTTAGGTTTTATGAGGAAAAAGAAGGCGCTGGCGACGACGGAGGAACCGAAGCCCGAGTTCCGGCGACGTTGGTAAGCAGAGGTAGGGCGCCGGGGCGGGCGCCGGCTGGTGGAGGGCCTGCGGCGGCGGCGGCGGCCGCGGCCCGGGGGGCTGGCGGGTGCTGGGCCGGGCCTGCCCCGACCTGCCCCGACCCGACCCGACCCGACCCGGCCTGACCTGACCCGAGGGCCTCGGACAAGCCAAGTTCCAGAAGTGGAGATTCGTCGCTACGATTGGCCGTGATTCTCGGTACTTAATACATCCCAGTTTCCTGCTTAGGTCAAAATAACAACAACAACAACAACAATAAAATTTCATTAACTCCTGTTTGTTCTGAGTTTTTTTCCTCATAGCTACTCCAGGTGTTTTATGGTGTCTTCAGTGGGGTTCACAACGCCGCATTTATTTGGCAAATACACGGTTTGGAATTGGAAGAAGATTCGAGGAGTAACTTTGAGATGGTTTAGTTCTTCAAGGAAGTTTGCCCCTCTACATCAATTAGTTGTACAAAGGAATTTCATTTTGATATGTCCATACAGTGTACTTTGATCAGCCTCATCTCCAGGCCTTGGCTCCCCACTTTCAAACCAATCTCAGGAAGCTTCATTGTTTCATTTGTCACACATGTACATAGAGTATTGCATCCTCCTTCACCTCCTCTGTTCTCCCTTCCTATTCCAACTAGGACCCACACTCTGGATAGGACTTGTTTCACATTTCAAGAACCTTCTTGATATGAAGTGTGTTATCCTGTGAACATGTGCAGCTTATTATTATATTGCAATTAGGATCACATATTTTTTCCCTTGATTTTATGACTCATCTGTACGTTTCTCCTTTTTGTTTAAAGTCTGCCACTGTGTTATTACTGTGAACTGCAAGGTATCTGCTTTTGAGATTCTTTCCTGTTGATGTTATCATCTTTCTTGGTTAAATTCATTGCAAATGAACAATCACAAATGAATATACAATGTGATATACATATCTATGTATATCTAACATTTTTCACATATTTAATACTAATTACTAGGTGTAACTTAATATATTACTTATTCATGGATCAAATTATTAAGTACTTTCTGTATATTAGGTATCTTTCTAGAATCTAGGAAAACATCAAGTTAACAAAAAATATAAAAATGTCTAACTTTGACAAGTGCCAATGGCTCATACTTGTCCTAGCTACTTAGGAGGCTGAGATCTGCAGATCATGTTTCAAAGTCAGCGGGTAGGACAGTCTGTGAGACTCTTATTGCCAATTACAAAACAAACAAACAAAAAAACCCCAACAACAAACAAGAAGAGCTGTGGCTCAAGTGGTAAAGCAGTGGTTTTGAGTAAAAAGAAACTCAGTCCCTGAGTTCAAGCCCAGGACCAGCACACATACACTCAAAATCTATCATGATACATACCTTTTAAAAATAATTTTATTGTTAATTATTAAGGTGTTGTCCAGAGGGCTTACCTTTTCATGTTAGGTAATGAGTACATTTCTTTTTTTGGACAATGTTACCCCTTCCTTTACATTCCCCCAATTTCTCCTCCCTCCATTGCTCACAAGTTACATAGGTCATTTTCCACATAGTGTATAATGAATAGCATGATTACATTTGTTTACCAACTTCTTCCTGTTTGCCCCTACTTGCCTGCCTAAAAGGAAAAGAAAAACCCTAAAACAAAAACAAACACTACCACTACCACCAACAATAACAACAACAACAAAAAAAAAAACCCATGTTTCTATTTCCTGGAGTCTGTTTGGATAAATAGTATTTTAAATGTTCAGAGATATTATATCTTTGTGTTTTTCCCCTTAGTGTATCTTCCTTTAATCTGTGTGAATACCTAAAGACCTGTATAGGTTTTCATGTCCAGTTATAGTGTAGATCTAGCTTCCACATAGGAGAGAAAATTTGCTGTTTGTCTTTCTGAGCTTGGCTTACTTCACTGAGCATGTTAGATTTGTTCTAAGTCTGACACATATAATCAACCACTAAACAAATATAGAAATATAGAAGCCTCTTGTGTCTATAGATTTGCTTTCTGTGGTTTCAGTTGCATGTGGTCAGCCATAGTCTGAAAATATTAATGGAAAATTATAGAAATAAACAGTTTTGAATAGTGTTTTCCTTTTCTGTATGATGAAATCTTGCCCTATCTTGTACTATCCAACGTGGAATGCAAATCATTCCTTTAACCAGCATATCCATGCTATACATCAAACATTCTGGCTCATTAGTTACTAGCCATCTTGGTCACCAGATCAACCGTCATGGTATCACAGTGCTTAATAATGATGCCACAGTGAAAGAGTAATGATACTGGCAATTCAAATGTGCCAAAGAGAAGCTGTAAGTACTCTATTTAAATGAAAAAGTCAAGTTCTTAATGAGGAAAAAATGCAAAGGTTGCTAAGAACCAGGATATTTTGAGATAGCTATCGCATGCACGTAACTTTTATATAGCTTATTATTATGTTCAACTTTATTTGTTAATCTCCTACTGTGTCTAATATATGAGAGTTTATGGGCTGGGAAGGTGGCTCAGTGGTAGAGTGCTTGCCTTGCATTCATGAGGCCCTGGGTTCGATTCCTCAGCACCACATAAGCAGAAAAAGCCAGAAGTGGCACTGTGGCTCACGTGGTAGAGCTCTAGCCTTGTGCTGAAGAGCTAAGGGATGGCACCCAGGCCCAGAGTTCAGGCCCCACGACCGACCAAAAAAAAAAGTTCATCCTAGGTATGTATGTAAAGGAAAATAGCACAGTATGTGTTGTGTTCAGTGCTGTCTGTGGTTTAGTATATCCACTAAGAAGTCTTAGAATGTGTCCCCTGGTATAAGAGAGCATGGCAATAAATACATTTTACAAAGAGATAAATGCCTGAGAGAAAAATACATTGAACAGTAAAGTTGTAGGACATCAGATTTGAAGTCCAGTTCAAAATGAGGTGACAGGGAGCCAGGTCAGGAAAGAGGGAAGGGGATCTTTTGAAAGATGAGGTGCATAAGCAGTTGATGAGTAGAAGCCACACAGGGAAACTGGCAAGTATATTGAGGTGGGATTGTGATTGTGGGAAGAGCAGGTTTTGAATAGGAGGATAGTAAATGGAAAGTTTTAATTTTAGATAGATTGAGATGCAAGTCAACATTCAGGCAGAGCTATGATTAGGCTGTGGGCATTTGAATATGGAGGTAAGAGGAGACACAGTTTTTTGATCCATCAGTCTATTAATGATATTCGTTATAATAACTGACAAAAATAACCAAGAGAGTGTATGTACATGGAAAAGAGTAAAGGACTTCTCCCAGATTCACAGGTAGGAGAGAAAAGCAATTAGCAGAGACTAAAAAGTGGCCAAGTAGTAGTAGGAAAACTAGTAAGCAAGGGGGGGGGGTACCAGAAACAGAGAGAGAAAGTGTTTCAAAGGGGACAGAACGGTCAAGTCTTATGAATCCTGCTGATTCATAAGAGGGGAACCAAGAATGGACTGAGGAATACAAGTGGAGAATAAGCCTTTTATACTAGACATGGTGATGCATACCTGTAATTCAGCAAGCAGGAGCCTGAGGCAGGAAGATTTTGAGTCTGAAGCTAGTTTAGGCTGCATAGGCCCAGTCTCAAACAAAACATAAAGCAAAAATAAAAATAAAAAATAAAGATCAAGAACAGCATATTACATACCCAACCTATATGTATCCATATTTAAACAAATTGTGTTTTATCCCCATTTTCACTACCAGTAATTCAATACCACCATTTCTCTGCAGCCACTCTGGAATCTCTCCTTCACATAGTAATCAAGGGGATCATTATAAATACATCATCAACTTTCATCTAAAGCCTTTCCGTTGCTTGCCATTGCTTTTAGAATAAAATTAAGATGCCTGTCTACTTCATGTTGCTGCTCATCCCTTCTCAGAACTTTCCTGAGCCTTTATTTTGCCATCTCCTTTGAAATGTCCTTGAGTTTTTCAGATGTTTGGCTCCTTCATTTCTTCCAGATCTCAGATCGTTTGTTAGAACCGTACAGAGAAAGTTCCTATCTGATGCAGGTTCACCTATCAATTTGTATTTTTAAATCTGTTTTCTTAGGGTGGGCACCTTGGCTCATTCCTGTAATCCTAGCTACTTGGGAGGCTGAGATCTGAGGAGAACGGTTCAAAGCAAGGCAGGCAGGGCAGGAAAATCTGTGAGACTCTTATCTCCAATTAACCATCAGAAAACCAGGAGTGATACTGTGGCTCAAGTAGTAGAGTGCTCACCTTGAACTGAGCCCCCCAACTGACAAAAAAATCTTTTCTTGTGTTTTGTCTTTTATTAGAATGTAAGCTCCCTGGTGATCTAGGATAACACGTGTCTTCTTCATTGCCCTGTCTCTAGAACCAAGCCTGGAGATTGAGACATAGCAAACAATAGGCATTTGTTATTGGAAGAATTCAAGGGGATAGAGTATCTTTGTATTCTTAATAATTGTGAATATTGTATACAGACAAGTAGATCTGGGCCAATTTTTAAGGACAGTATTTGATCCATCTTTTTTTTTTTTTTTTTTTTTGGTTGGTAATGGGGCTTGAACTTTGGGCCTGGGCACTGTCCCTCAGCTATTCAGCTCAAGACTAGTGCTCTACCACTTGGCCCACAGTACAGCCCCATTTCTGGTTTTCTGGTGGTTAATTGGAGATTAAGAATCTCATGGATGGGGCTGGGAAGGTGGCTCAGTGGTAGAGCGCTTGCCTTGCATGCCTGAGGCCCTGGGTTCAATTCCTCAGCACCACATAAGCAAAAAGAAAAAAACGGCTCAAGTGGTAGAGTGCTAGCCTTGAGCTGAAGAGCTGAGAGACAGCACCTAGCCCAGAGTTCAGGCCCCACGACCGGAGCGCCCCCCCCCCCAAAAAAAAAAGAATTTCATGGACTTAAGTGCCAAGGCTGGTTTTGAACTGCAATCCTCAGATCTCAGCCTCCTGAGTAACTAGGATTACAGGCATGAGCCACCAGTGGCCAGCTTTGTTCCATCTTTAAGATAATCACAAATGTAAAGAATTGACCTAGACCTTAACAATCAAATGTTTCATGAGATTTAGGAAATTAATTTTGTTTATGCAACAGTTTATCTGAGTGCCCTCAATGTGCTAGGCACTGCCCTCCCTAGTCACTGATTACACGGAGATGAACAAAATAGATATGGGAATCCATGCTCATTGAGCTTGCAGTCTAGTGAAGTAGAGATTGTCAGTGAATGAATCGTTAAATCAACCCACAAGCAATTTCTTACTCCTATTGAAAATAGCTGCTGAGCATTTACGTGTGCCACTCATTGTGCTAGGCACAGAAGATGCATCATGAACTAACTTAAGTCTCTGCCCTCTTGAAGCTTATATTCTAGAGGAGACAACCATATCATAGGGGTGTACTTTAAGGTAACCTAGAAATTGGTGCTTTCTAGCAAGAAAAAGAAAGAAAGAGCTTATGGGGTAGGATATAGTAAGTTGTGTTTTTCAATAAGGTGGTCAGAGTAGATGACACTTGATCAGAGGCATAAGGATAATAGAATGGCAACTTGCTTCCAAATGAATGGTAGGGGAGATGACAGATAGCTAAGATTAGAAGGATGCCCAGGAAATAATTAGGCAAACAGATAAGAGGAGGGAACAAGTGCAGAGGAAAATCCTTGGTAGGCAAGTCCCGGAACTTTAGAGGAGTACATGGAAGCCCACTTGGCAGAAAGGTGAGGGCAGGTGCAGTGGAGGGAGAAGGGTATGGGGCTGGGAGAGGTTTTAGAGGCAATTTAAAGAGTTTGCATTTATCCCAAATGTAACAAAATCCTTGGGAAGTTTTTGATATGGGATTAACCTTAGACATTTTTTGGGGGGTTAAAAATATTATTTTGGTGATATTGTCCAAATGGAGCAGGAATGGCACATGGAATGAATTGGGAATTCAGGAGGTAGGAACTGCTTTTATACCATATTTTAAAAATCAAAACTTGTTTCTTCTGACTGTAGGTATTTCCATAGCATTAAAATTCATAGTACCTAAAATATATATTTGATCATATAAGCAATGTCATTAAAATAAAAGTATGATTCATATTTTAAAGTATGCTTTAATAAAAGCACATAAGATTTAGAAATGCTTGAACATAATCACATGAAATTTAGGTATTATGCTTATGCAGTTTTAATCTTCTATTTTGGAACTTTGTAAATTTCCTTGAGCAGCTATAATCAATGAGCAATACAAAGCATATTGACATTCTCTTTTAAAATTATTATACACTTCCTATATAGTATGTATTATAAATTTTATGTAAGCCATTCCTAATGAATCTTACTTTGAACTTAGAATTCACTGAAAAAATGTTTCATATTATATAATCTCAATTGATTTAATGAAGCTGGTATTTTTCTTCTATGAGTAACAAACCTAGTCATCATTATCTCAGCTGGAAGGCTTGGAAGAATTATCTAGTTCATCTACATAATTTGAGAATTCCAGCAAGTCTGTATATTTTAAAAATCCATTATATCTATCCTAATATGAAGCATTTTGTAAAGCAGCAAATTAAAGCAAAAAGAAAATACAAAATGAACAAAGAAAATAACTTTTGCTTTTTAAGGTTCTAGGGTTTATATTTGCCACATTATTTATTTGGCATTGTCATTTATTATTGGTACATGTACATATTTTGTACCCCAAATATCATTAATCAGTCATAAGGGACTATAAAGGACTGATTAATAATAATAAGGGCTACTTTGTCCTTTTGATTTAGTCATTTAATTACCTAAATGAACTATTGGACATGTTTCTCTAGAGATTGTTTTATTAATATTGTAACATGTACATCACAAGTAGCAGATCTATCTTTAGTAATAAATTTAAAACCCTGTCTATGTTAGTCAGTTTAGGCTATATTAATAAAATGCCACAGACTAGATGGGCTTCAACGACAGAAATTTATTTTCTAGTTGTGGTTTGCATCTGGTGGGGGCTTTTCTTGACTTGTTGAAGACTGCTTTGTCTTCACATAGTATTTCTTCTGAGCAAACAGGAAAACAAGTTTTCTGTCATCTCTTTTTGTAAGGACATAATCTCACCATGAGCCTACCTTCATGACCTTATTTAGCTTCCTTAGAGACCCAATCTCCAAATACAGTCACATGGCGTATTTAGGGTTTCAACAATACATGTAGGTTGGGAGGACACAAACATTTAGTATATAATATACTGTTATTAACTAGGAATTTATGAGAGAGGATTGAAAAATATTAAGGGGACTTTCCTAGAAGCATTTATAATTTTCAGGAGAGATGGAAGGAATAAATAAACGTTACCTAAAAGAATAAAATAAGCAATGAAATGTTACCTTGGTAGTGACTAGAAACCACTTCGATACTACTGTATGCTTTGCTTTTGTTTTACTTGTTTACTTTGTTTTACCTAGAATGGGCTCACTGAGTATTTGAGCCCATGAGCTCTTCATAGAAAATAATAAAATAATGAGAGAAACGTTTCTTCCTAGAAATGTACACTTAATCTGGCTTATGTAACTGTAACCCCTTTGTTCATTACCACTATAACAATAATAAATATGTTAAAAAAATGAAAGGGAAATTTTCCCTAATGATTTACTCCATTCAATCTTTCATCAAATATTTATTGAGTACCCCTACATTTACTATAGACAGAAGGTCCAGAATCACCAACACAATATTGAAGAAGAACAAAGTTGGAAGACTGCCTGGGTATAGTAGAACAGGCCTGTAATCCACTCAGGAAGCTGAGACAGAAGCCTCTTGAGTCTGAGGCTACCTACGGTTACATACTGAAATCCTGTTTCAAAAGAGAAAGCAAAGCAAAACAAAATAAAATACAAAGTTGGAGGATTGTTCCTACCCAATTTCAAGAATGTTGTAATAATAGGTGCAAGTAAAGACAATCAAAGTAACATAGAATTTGTATCTGTGTGTTATGTATTCATAGCTAATGTTTAACAAATGAACAAGCTTGCAGTGGAGAAAAGGTCATCTTTGCAATAAATAGTGCACATTCAAAAAAAGAATTGAAACACACACCCTATACTCCATAAAATTTAGTCAAAAATCATATATCTAGATGTAATATTCAAATGATAAAATTCCTAGATGATAACAGGAGAAAGTCTAGATGAGTTTGGGTTTAGTGATGACTTACTATATACATTACCAAATACCCCATCCATAAAAGAAAATTTTGATGTTAGGCTTCATTAAAATTAAAGATTTCTGCTTAGTGAAAGGCACCGTAAAGATGACTATATTTGCCAAAGACATATCTAGTAAAGTCTAAGACATTGACAGCACCAAATGCTGACAAAAATGTGGAGCAACAAGAACTCTCATTCATTGCTGGTGGTGATGCAAACCCTGAGTGGAAGACAGTTTAGTGTCCCTTTCTGATAAAATAGCATACTCTTAGGACATGAACCAATAATTGTGCTCCTTGGTATTCACACAAAAGTTTAAAAAATGTGTCCATATAAACCCTGTATATGAAATGTTTATAATAGCTTTATTCACAATCAACAAAACTTGGAAACCACCAACATATCTTTCAAAAGACAAGTGCAAAAAGCAATTGTGGTACTTCAGACAATGTGATACTAGTGTTAAAAAGAAATGAGCTGTCAAGCTACAAAAAGACATGCAGGAAACTTAAATGCATATTACTAAGTGAAAGAAGCCCATCTAAAAAGGCTATATTGGAAGTGGCACTGGGGCTCAAGTGGTAGAGCACAAGACTTGAGCTGAAGAGTTCAGAGACAACACCCAAGCCTAGAGTTCAAGCCCCATGACTGGCAAAAAAATAATAAAAAATAAAAAGGCTGCATTCTGTATAACATTCTGGAAAAGGCAAAAAGTGGAAACAGTAAAAAGATCAAGGTTAACAGATTAAAGAGAAAGGGACAATGAAGAGATGGGAGCAAAAAGGATTTTTTAGAGCTGTAAAACTGTTATAAAGATGAGTATGTGTCATTACACATTGGTCCAATCCCATCATATATGCACTATCAAGAGAAAACTCTAATGTAAATCTGTAGGCCTTGGATGATAATGATGTGTCAGTGTTGACTCATCAGTTGTAATAGGATGTACGACTCTGGTGGTGTGAGTATTGATAAAGGGTAAGAGCTATAAGAAACCAACTTGCCTCTTAATTTTGTGTGTACTTAAAACTGCTCTAAAATAGTGCATTTAAAAATGTCTCTAAAAGTTTCACACATAGGAAGCAATAGTGCTAATTTTTCCTATAACTATATGATAAATAATTAGGCATTAGCAATAAGGCACATTGAAAAGATAGCACAAATTTTAAAGGCTTGCTTACTAATTAATTGAGGTTTACCACTGACTTTGAAGATGTCATTTTATGGTTTTTTTTTTTTAACAGTGCCACCACTTTGTTTAATATCTGGACCAAATATGCCCCCAGGCTGCCAGCTGACTATTACAATGAAAAGCTTCTGAAGGTTGGAGATAGCCTTTGTCAAATGAAAGTAAGTGCCTCTGGAGCAAAGTGAGCCAAAGGGAAATTCAGCTTGGCTAATTTTTATTTGGTCTGATACCCTTTCTACATGACATATTTTGAATACTTGTTTTTCTTAAAAAGAAAATGAGGCAGGGTTGAGATTAGGGGTTGTACTGGTGCTTTAGGCCTGTAATCCTAGTTCCTCAAGGGGTTGAGATCTGAGGTTCAAAGCCAGCTGGGACAAGCAAGTCCATGAGACTCGTATCTCCAATCAACTACCAAAAAGCTGGAAATAGAGCTGTGCTCAAAGTGGCAGAGCACTAGCTTTGAGCAAAAAAGCTCAGGGACATTGCCCAGGCCCTGAGTTCAAGCCCCAAGGATGGCATAGACACAGACACAGACCACACACAATACATGAATATGTAAAAAGTTTAATGAGGAACAGTAACCAAAAAGTGTGCTTGCTTCTTAATGTTGTAGTTGAAATTCTCCGGGGGTGAGCAGTTCCTGCAGGAACCAGAGGAAGCCACTTAGATGCTGAGGGTGTGGTAGGTGCACAGCAGGAAGTGCTGAGTCACCATGTTCCTACCGTATACAAAGGGGCCCCAGACACCACTTCCTGTTGTTTTTGACATGGTTGGTCTTGCACAGCCTGCAGCCCTCGTGGCTTCTGGACTTGCTGTTTTGTTGCCCAGTTTCCAGTGTTCTGTTTTAAGTAACTTTCAGCTTCTTCTCAATGGTTTACTGTGTGTGATTTACAGCAGTCATTCCATATAGGTCCTGCTTGTTCAGTATATTATATGCCAGACTGAGTCTATGACCTATTTTTAATTCCATATTAAGGCCCAAGTTTTGGAATGTTGCGGATGGGTGGACTTGGTTTGATAAGACCACTCCACAGCTGAGTTTTCAGTTGACGATAATGTGAGTTTTCCCTTTAAGCTCTGGCATAAGTCCAAATTATTCTAAGTTATTTGAAATGTTGGACAGCAAGTTTTTTTTTAATCCAAAAGAATTTTTGGCCAGACAGAGGCAGCAGTATTCAGTGTTTTCTAAATCTTCAGTGTCTCAGCTTAATTTTCCTTCTTCATTTCTACTTTCATGAATCTGTTAGGTCTGGGAGGCAAATTTACCAAATGGAAGGTAAAATGTGGAAGAACTTTTGTAGGGAAGAACTAAGCTAAGATCTGTTTTTAATGGCCAGAATTAGAGACAGCTTTAACTGGGTGAAAATGGACCATATCCCTTAAAAATACAGGGTTTAGGAAACTAAAGGGGAAAAAATTGTAAGCTATATTCATGTAGAGTGGAGTAACAGCTTTGACAAGAATTAAGAGAGAGAGCTTTGTCTATTCTTAAAGTTCTGCACCTGAAAAGCTGGCAACCTGTAATATAGTGTATAGTTAGAGGATATTGGTAGAGGGAGAAGGAAAGAGCATGCTTGAAGTTGATAAAGCAAGTTGATGAAGGATTCAGAGTACTTTTGATAGAAACATCTGGAAAAAAATCTTTTAAAATTTAATTAAAGAGACAAAAAGTTTCATCTGCTTTTCGCTGATGTGACAGTTGGAAAGATGGCATTTATAATCCTGGGAATAAACTTGCATTATTTGCGTTGATTTCTAGACTCTATTTTAATTTTTAGTTATAGTAAAGATGATTTTGTGGAGCATGCTTTTTCTTTAACCTATTTGAGTCTATTGTATGAATCCAGTTAGAATGAGAAAGATTCAGAATTATTGAGCAAATAATAAAAAGTCAAAAAGAAGCAGAACAGTTTTGGAGCGTGGATACCTCTCGAGTGAGGTTGTTGTTCCCACCTAGATCTTAGCTTTTCCTAGAGACACAGCTGCTAGGGAGGAAGTAGAGGAAATTGTAAAGGAACTTAGCTTTAACGCATTGCCGGTATTCCCTACCTGAAACTCTCTAGATCAGCTGTGTCTATGGGTGGCAAGAAATAAAGCATCTGATTGTAGCAAGGCTATACATTTCCCTCAGACCAAATATTGGGTTACTACCATCTGGTGATGTTGGATTTGGGGGCTTGAAATTTGAGTAAACATAGGTTTTGCTATGCCAAAGTGAATATTCCTTTTTTGTTGTTGTTGTTGGTCATGGGGCTTGAACTCTGGGCTTGGGCACTATCCCTCAGCATTTCAGCTCAAGGCAAGTGCTCTACTGCTTGAGCCACAGCACCACTTCCGGTTCTCTAGTGGTTTATTGGAGATAAGAGTCTCAAGGACTTTCCTGCCTCAGCTGTCTTTGAACCATGATCCTCAGATCTCAGCCTCCTGAGTAGCTAGGATGACAGGCATGAGCCATCAGCACCCCGTCAAAGTGAATATTCTTATTTTGTGGTTATGAAGGTCCTATAGCTTGTGATGGGGACATTTAAATCAAATAATGTCAAAAAGCCACACAGTGCCACACCTATGACATAATTTTACACTTTGGTGCAATTAAGAATAATATAAAAATCGTCAAGTAATACTTTGAAACTTTAATCAAGTCTTTTTATTTTAGGAATATAAACTGGCCCTTCTGCAGTGCTATGGAAGGTATCTTCAACAGTTTAGTACCAATTTTGATGAGAATGGAGCAGATGTGAATCAATTCAAAGCTATCTTCTTTCCAAAAGGTTTTGGAGATGAAACTTCTGGACTTACAGTAAGATGAAAGAAGCAGCAAAGATAGCTATGGTTTATGTTAGCTCTGTGTTATGCCCTTAAGTTGTCAGCGTCTGACTATCTTCATTGCTTAGCATGGCATCTGGCCACTTGTTCTAAGTCCTTTGACATATAACTTCAGGCATGGTTAAGAAAATGAACTTACTGAACTTTGTGACACTACTTTGGAGATTGTGTCAATATAACCACCCCCTCTACCAGCAGGCAGTATTGTTATATGCTCATAGCCTCCACAATAATATTTGTAGAGGCTTTCAGTTTGTAAAATACTTTGGAAAACATAGTTAATTTTTACAATGACCTTAAGAGTTAAATACTATTACTGCCTTGTTTTACAAAAAAGAAAATAAAGCTAATCAGAATGAATCTAAAAAATTAGCTCTTGATTGCAGATGTTTGTCACAAAAATTTTTATAATTGATTTCTAGCCTTTGTGCATTGCTATCATTAGTTCACCAGTTGAGCACTTCCCATGTGCTAGCTTTGGAAATAAAAGCATTTATATGAATTATCATATTGCAGTCTTAGTATGGTCCTGACTTTTTTTTAATAGAAGAGTAAAATGAAGTTTACCAGAGATCAAGAAGTCATCCCAGCACCCTCAAAGCCATGGATAGGGCTTAATACTGCATGTGCTAAGGGTAGAACCATCTATTGCTTATTTCTGAATGCTTCTTGCCTGGCAGAGTGTGAAATGGAGGGGCTCAACTAACAGTTGTTGGGTGACTTATGTAAATGATGATAATCACATCTGAATTAATAGATTAAAATGCTATTAAGTGAATTAAAAAATTGATCAAATTCCATATTCTTGGTAATTTTTTTTTCTCAGAGTAGCTTCTGACTAAGGAATGCCAATCTTAACTAATTCAGGATATTTTGAAGAAAACTATCTATGTTTCTTTCTTGATTAATCTATTAAACTCATTAAGCATAATTATTTCCATTTTAGTACTTTACATTTTGAGAGGTGCTTTCCTGAGTTGTGTATATATGTATATTCTAATTTTTATTTTCCAATGTATTTCAGTTTCATGCTTTGAGTGGCAGAAGCATTTGCAGCTATGAGCTCGTGTGTGACTCTGATGCAAACCTGCAAAACAAGGAGTCTGTGAAGAAGTGTCTGCATGTCTTGTCCTCCCTAAGGCTCATCATGCAGGTGGCTCTCCCACAGGAGCACCTTTGCTGGATTATTTTCAATGGTGGGTACCAGTGTGTTTTGTTTCCTAGTGTATCATTCAGAAAGTTAAATGCTAAGGTTGATGGTAACTTGATAGCCTTGTCTTTTAAAACATACATATTTCATAATAGGATGGCTGGGGTTATTATCATTTTTAATTTATGTTACATTTTAGTTTGTCCTTACAGGTAGGGATTTATTTATGTCAGAGGCAATGGATAATCAGTGTCAGGTATATAAAAATCCAGAAGAAAGATGTGGTGAAACATGCCTGAAATGCCAACAATTAGGAGGCTGAAGAAGGAGGTTAGGGAGTTTGAGGCCATCTTAGGATTGTTCGGTCTCAAAACAAAACAGCCAGCGGGGACCATAGTTGATAGAGTATATAAGATGTAATGACGAAGGACTAACCACTGCAGTGAATTGGTCCTAGGTATTATCCATATGTTAGTTCTCTTCTCTTAGTACCTTTGGTTTTCTACATAGCAAGCTCTCCCCTTTTACTACTTATTTGAGGGAAAGCTCTGATTACTACATGCATGCACATGAGTGCACATGTACATACACTCACACATTTTAAATGAGTGTAAAGAAATTAATTTTAGCTATGAAATGTAACATCTTTTTCTCTCTCCTAAAGTTGCATTAAGTCACTTACTCTGTTCTTATTTGGGGAATACATTCTTTTTTTTGTGGTGCTAAGAATGGTTCAAATATTTTAAATGAAAGATAATAGTGATAGTGTATTTGATTTGATTAAGACCAGGACAAAATAACTCCAAAGAAAAATACACTAAAGGGGCTGGGGAGATGGCTCAGTGGTAGAGCGCTTGCCTTGCATGCATGAGGCCCTGGGTTCGATTCCTCAGCACCACATAAGCAAAAAGAAAAAAAAAGTCGGAAGTGGCGCTGTGGCTCAAGTGGTAGAGCGCTAGCCTTGAGCTGAAGAGCTGAGGGACAGCGCCAGGCCCAGAGTTCAGGCCCCACGACCAGACCAAAAAAAAAAGAAAGAAAGAAAAAAAAAGAAAAATACACTAAAATTTCCCTCATCCTATGGCAACTGAAAGTTTATTTCACTTTTTCTTTTCTCACTCACTCCAAATCATGTTTTAGCATTCGTATTGAAATTAAACTTCGTATTGGCTGCTAGAAATGAGGATACTTTTGATGATATTTTTTGATCAGTGAATATTTTTTTGTGCCTGATCAACCTTCAGGGAATCCTCAATTCCTTTAATGGCCACTGCCATCTTTCCATCTGAATTGCTTACCTATTTTGGCAAAGGACAGAGAGCAGGAGAAAGGGCAGTGAGAGGCCTGAGGACTGGGACTTGAAAGGTAGAAATGGTACATTACAATTCATTTCTTTCAGTCCTTTCATAATCAGATGCATACCAGACCTAATGGTGTTATTTTTAATCCAGAAGAATGAGGCTGGGAAGTTCAAAACTCATTTAGCCACACAGCAAAGATGAAGCCAACCTAGACTACTTAGCCAAAGAAACAAATAGCAAACAAAAAGAAAAAAAGAAAAAAAAATCACACATTTACCAATCCCTAATGTTCTTTGAAAAGAAGAAGTTTAAATAAGTTTTGTATCTTCTTTATCATTTTTCTGTAATTTTATTTATGCATATGGTATTGTGCTCTAGACTTTATCTTGTTCCCTATACTATATTGAGGCTCCTATATTTAAACTAATTTAACTCTGCTTTCTGATTGTATAGGGGTGGGCACCTGGTCTGTTGCACCTCTCTAATTGCACAAATAATTCTATGAGGAATACCTTCCTACTTGTCCTTTTATAGTCTGGTGTAAGAGTTTTCTAGGATTTATGCCCAGGAATAGAACTGCTGGATTATGGGAGATACACTTATTATACTTTGTTCACCAACTCCTGTCCTTGGGGTAAAACTTTATGAGTAGTTCCTGGAAACCAGGCATTATCTTAGGTGCCAAGGTCACAGGAGAGGGCAACAGGTGAAAACTCTGTTCTCATACTCTTCTTCAGTTGAATCTAGATAGTATCAAATGACAGTTGAGTGCTGAGTAGAAAAGTAAAGGTACACAGGGCACAGGGAATACAGAAGCTAGAATGAAGTGGGTTGGAATTTTACATACCATGGTTAGGGGATGCCTTCCAGATGTGACAGTTGAGTAAAGACCTAAAGGAATTTGAGGGGTGAACCACTTGAATATGTAAGGAAGGCTGTTCCAATTAGGGGATTAATAAATGCACAGACCATGCAGTTTTGACAATTTGACGTTTAAGTAGTCAGTAATTTATATATTTGCAAATTTACCAAAATATATTTGACCTTGTTATTTACTCCATTTACTTTTTGTTCATTTGTTTTTACTTTTGAGACAGGGTCTTGAACTCACTGTCTTCTTCCTTTTTTTTTTTTTTTTTTGGTCAGTTGTGGGGCTTTTGTCATGGGACTGGGCACTATCCCTCAGCTCTTCAGCTCAAGGCGAGCGCCCTACCACTTGAGCCACAGCACCACTTCTGGCTTTCTGATGGTTTATTGGAGATAAGAGCCTCACAGACTTTCCTGTCCAGGCTGGTTTTGAACTGCAGTCCTCAGATCTCAGCCTCCAGAGTAGCTAGGATTACAGGCGTGAGCCACTGGTACCTGGTGAACTCTTCTTACCTCAGCTTCCTGAATGTTGGGATTATAGGCATGTGCAAACTACACTCAACTTTTATTTACTTTTTCTTTTTGGTCGGTCGTGGGGCCTGAACTCTGGGCCTGGGTGTTATCCCTCAGCTCTTCAGCTCAAGGTGAGCACTCTACCACTTGAGCCACAACGCCACTTCTGGCTTTTTCTGCTTATGTAGTGCTGAGGAATTGAACCCAGGGCCTCATGCATGCAAGGCAAGCACTCTACCACTGAGTCACCTTCCCAACTCCTACTTTTTTTTTCTTTAAATTATACTAGGGATTGAACTCAAGGCCTTGAGCTTGTTAGGCAGGCACTATACTACTTGAGCTATGCTTCCAACACCTTTTCATGCCTGAGTTTAGGCTTTGATTCTTCTGTTTGTACCTCTCCATGTTGCTGGGGATGACAGGCAGGGCCCACTGTTGCCAGCCATTGTGCTTTCCTTTAAGTTGGGATGGCATTGGTAGAGATGGTGACTCCCAGACTTAAGCCTTAGTTGACAACCTCCATTCCTTATCTCTGCCTCTCAAGTGGCCATGATTACAGGCTTAGCTACCATGCCCAGCAAGCTACCTCACTTACCTTTGTATCAACTTGGTGCTATTACACATGTATACCCTTGGTTCTGTAAGATATTTAACCAATCTTTATTCTTTCTGAAATCTAAGCAGGTATATGAATATTGGATAACAACTCAGTTTTCAACTAATCTGAATCTTAATTTAGACTCTCAGGTTTATTTTGATGGTGGTTATCTCTGATGAAAAGGAATCACATCATCAGACCATAAAGTCATATTTGGCTCAAAGCAAAATTAAATTGCCTTCTAAAGATCACATGGAATGCAGTCTATGTCCATCCGTCACCATTTAACTTTCTCTTTCTGGCTTTTACAGTGGGAATTTGGAAACTATACCAAAATCCAGCAATCAATCTTTTCTTCTTCCTGCTCCTGCTCCTCCTCCTCCTGTTCCTGCTCCTCCTCCTCCTCCTCCTTCTCTTCTTCTTCTCCTCCTTTTCCTCTTTCTTCTTCCTCTTCCTCTTCTTTTTTTTTTGCCAGTTCTGGGGCTTGAATGCAAGGCCTGGGCAACATCCCTAAACTGCTGCTTCTATTTTTTTTGGTCGGGTGTGGGGCTTGAACTCTGGGCTTGGGTACTGTCCCTGTACTCTTCAGCTCAAGGTGAGCACTCTACTGCTTGAGCCACAGGGCCACTTCTGGGTTTCTAGTGGTTTATTAGAGATAAGAATCTCAAGGCTTTGAATCGTGATCCTCAGATCTCAGCCTCCTGAGTAGCCACTGGTGCCTGGCTCCATCCCTAAGCTTCTTTTGCTCAAGGTTAGCTAGCACTTTACTACTTGAGCCACAGTGCCATGTCTGGCTTTTTCTGTTTATGTGATACTGAGGAATCGAGCCCAGGGCTTCATGCATGCTAGGCAAGCAATCTACCACTAAGCCATGTTCCCAACTCAAATCCTGCATTTTCAAAGAAAGTTTTAGTAGTAGCTGGGATGGATTAGGGCTGGCAGGGTGAGAGGCATATTTTTGAAATACAGAGGGCCCTTATGATTTTGAGGAAAATCTCCGGGGGATATAAATTCCCCAGTTCCCTGTAACTGACATGTTTATTCAGGTTCCTGGCTCTCATCTGAATCACATGTTAGCAAGGAGGCATGTGTCTCCTGCACATATCTTTATGACTTTTTTTTTCCTACAAAGAAGCACAGTTACACAATTTTATTTTTATTTTAAAGACTTAAAGTAGAGGTCAGCAAATTCAAGCTGGGATGAATTTACAACCAGTGTGTGAGAAGGGAAGTGAGCAGTAGCACGTCCCAGCCACAGTCCCACTGGGATGTAGAGTTCCTTTGTGGCAAAGACTATTGTATTCTCCGTGAAGTTTGAGGTACTTGAAGTATGCGAGATTTTACTCAATATTTTGGTTGCTAGTTTGTGTAATTAATGTTTATTATGCTTCAGGTGTGCTTTAATCAGGGCATATGTTTTGGAGCAGATGCTGTTTTCTTAGATGCTTTGAAAGTTGAAACACGAACAGAAGATTCATAATTGTTGAATTTTCATGGTTATGAATTTTAATCAGATATTTTGTAGAAAATATTTAGACTACTTGTCATTATAATTACATGCCTTTTTAACCGATATCACCATGTCCATGGCATGGTAGTGTCCTAGTTTTACAAAGGTAGGCTGATGGTCTCCACTCCTCCCTTCTCCCTGGCCACCAGCTTTCTCTCTCTTCACTTAACTAATGACTTCATACAAAGTCATACTTTCATGAAATGTTGGTTTTTTTTAATTAGGTTGTCAATAGGACCTTTTTTAAAAAAAAATTTTGGTGCTGTTGCTGGGTCTTGAACATGGGGCCTGGGTGTTGATCCTGAGTTTTTGTAACTACCACTTGAGCCACAGCTCTCCCTCTGGATTTTTGTTGGTTAAGTGGAGGTAAGAGTCTCATGGATTTTCCTGCCTAGGCTGGCTTTGAATCCTTAGATCTCAGCCTCTTGAATGGGTAAGATTACCCTCATGAGCCACTAGTGCCCAGCAGGACCTATCTTAATAATGGGATTAAATGTTATATATGACAGTAAAGAATTATAGTACAAATCTGTTATATATTGAGTTTCAAATTATTGTTTTCTTGTTGAGTATGGTGCCAAGCTAATTAAATATATATTCAGACCTTATTTGGAGATAAATATTTCATTTTTTACCCATCAGGATGCCACAAGAGATGAAAGCATTTTACATGAATTAATAAACTTTGCAGGCACATAAATTATACCTCTAAAATATTCTTATGTTCAATTTATTTCAAAAGTTAAATTGACTTTTAAATGAGACTAAAAGATTCCTATGTTAATATATCTAAAATATGACTGTATTTGTTATTTTTAATGATTTTATTCATAAGTGTCAAAAATTTTAGAGACTATAACTTTTTATCATCATAAGAATTTCTCATGAGATTATTTGTTTTGGAAACTACAGACTTTAACAGCAGAAAGAAATATAGTTTCTTCATTTGAGTGTAAAACATGTTAACAATCTTTGTCTCCACTAGGTACCATTTATATTTACACCATTTGCCGAAAACTGATGATCATGGGCCAGGCTTCCCAGGTATGAAATGTACTAAGAAGAGATCTCCTTCATCTTTCCTGCTTGCTTACCTTTAGAGTTTTGTTATAACATATGGTGGATGTTAAAAGACTGCTTAGTGATATCTATCAAAACTTGGTGAATATATATCATACAGTTTTATTGGTCTTAGTTTTACTTTAATATAGGAATCATATGTAAGAATGTGGATAATAAAGTATTAAAGAGAAGAAAGAGAATTTCTAAAAAGGATAGCATTATCCAGTGTCCCCCATTGCCAGAGTCATTTTATATGGAACATCTGTCTAGTTCTCTGTCTCTAGGTAATGAATAAATGAAATCATCTTGCTCCTGGAGTAGTTATTGTTATTGTTACTGTTATTACCATTTGACATTACTGAGGATTAAACTGAGAGCCTTGCTAGATAAGCACTCTACCATTTCAGCCGTATCCCAGTCCTTTACTATTAGTTTGCTTCCTCAAACTCTTGCTCTTTTGCATAGGCAGACCTCACACCACAATCTTCCTATATCTACTTCTTCAGCGGCTGAGATTATAGGCATGTATCACCATACTCAAATCTCTTTTTTTCTCTTAAAAGTGTCCTAGTTTAGATGATAAACTGTGGTTGTCCTGTTTATGCTACGAAGTTTCTGGACTTATAGTTCACACGCTATTTGAATAAACAAATACCCAAACTCGAATTCATTTATATGCTGTATGCAAAGAGACTGTAATAAGATTCCCACTTACTTGTACTCACTGCTTAGTTTTAGCTTGAGGAAGCCATTGACATGTCTGTTGATACCCCTACAATGTTGGTGTAGCATTTTTATCAGTAGGACATGTATTTATTTTCTGTGTTCATTTTTCAGTCATTGAAATATAGGCCAAAAGAGCAAAGATATTCCCACTAAGACCCTGCTTGAGTTGTTGGCATTTGAAATATTGCTCCTTTATTCCATGTGTAAGCTTACTTTGAATATTAGAACACTCAGGAGAGATTTTTTTTAAGTTTTCTTTTTTTCTGTCTGAGACCAGGACTCAAACTTGGTCACTGGCTAGTGCTGTACCACTTGAGCCCTGCCTCTAGCCTCTTTATATTCTTCCTATTTCCTCAAGGCATAGACAAATATCTTAATAGCTAAAACCACCTAAAAAATAAAGATGGGAGCAAAGATATTTGTATGCTTCATGGATAACATTGTTTCTAATTTCTCTTCATGTTTTATTCTTCAAATTAAAACAAAACAATTACTAACCTGACTAATAAACTCTGAGTCAGCACTTTGAGAGTGAATTAAATGAAAGAAAGACTGTTCCACATATAACATAAATTTGGCCTACCGTCTGTTCCAAGGATTCTACATTTAGTTCCAGTTGACTTCCTAAGAAGAATGTACATCCTCTTGTTGTACTTTCTGTAACAACAAATATAGCTTCACACAAGCATCAGGGTTTGGTCTGCTACAGTGTTTGCTTGCCAAAGCTTTGAAGGACAGAGATGTCTATGCCAACATTTAGCTGTTAGCATTGGTACTTGTTAACGCTGAGAGAATTTTAACCTAATATGATAGTTATCTTAAAATATTTTCTCATTTATAACCTTTGTGAGATATTTCCCTTCCCTCTATGTAACTTGAGTTTGTTTCTGATAAGATAAGTGGTGAAAGAGGATGGGTGTATGTCCAAGTCTTGTGGGAGGGAAGAGGAGGGAATGAGAGATCCAAGAATTTTGGAATGGTGAGTGGTTACAGTTGGCACTTGAAGATCAGGATGAAATTCTTCCAGTTTGTTCAGTATAATACATTTCAAAGGACTTAGTTTTTACTAGGAATTTCTACAACCCCAGCTGGTAAATTGATTCCTAAGCTGAGGCTGTAAATAGCCTTGTTGGTTCCATATAATAGAGACAAACCCTTGGAGGTTTTACCACATTTGACTCCTGGATCTTAGGTACCAAGAGTTGTAGTGACTTTGGAGCTCAAGTTTACAGCGTAAGATGAAGAGAAATAGAACTGGGATCTGAAGGTAATTCCTAATGTCACATCAGACCACTATCACTCTCATCACCATTGTCATAATCATTATTTGTTGATTGACCAGATATGCTTTGAAGCATATCATGAATGAGCTCATATGACCCCTTTGTGAAAGGCACTTTTATGACCTCTAGCTTAGAGATGCAGTGACAGGTCTAATTAGAGGTGTCCTGAATCAATGTCACACTCTAGTACCTCTTAAGGCCATTACAATATTGGCCTTTTTACAATAATAAATCTATTGACAAAAATAAAAACTTGTCACCATTTATACTATTTTGGTTCACCTACTCAAGTAGAGCTATGAAATATGACATATTTCATACATATTTTATACTGTATGAAATATGACATATAATATGACCCTGTATTAGTAAAAAGAACCTGAAGACCTCAACTGACCCAGGGCTTTTTGTCAGATGGACTTACTGTAGTGCCAAAGCAGGTCAGAAGCTTAAGTTTAAGGAAACTGGGAGGTCAGATTTCAGAAACCACTTTTCCTAAACACATATGACAACTTTGCTTTTGCTTGTGGAACAACTGTTTTCTGTTTCCCTGTGGCATTTTGAACTGCAGAACCTAAGTATTTGGCAACCATGAAAGAATACAGTAGAAAGCAGTCATTCTAAAAACATTTTATTTGTGCTCAGTGATGAAATAGCTTCAGTATCATTTTCCTCAAATGACAGTCTGGTATAAGTGGAGCTGCAGTGCCATCCTGTGGCTATGATCATTTATTGTGTGCTGCTATGTGGGGCCCATATTTTAGATTTGGAATATGGAATCAGTTTGCTTTTTCAGTCTCCCCCCCACCTCCTACCACAGGGTTTGAGCTCAGGGCCTGTGCTTCTTAGGCAAGTGTTGTACCACTTAAGCCACTACCCTAGCCCTTTGTGCTTTTTAGCTTGTTTTAGATAAGGTCTTCAATTTTTCTTTTAGTCAGCCTCAGATGGCAACCTACCTAGTTATATCTCCTGAGTAGTTGGTATTATAAGCTTGAACCACCATACCTGGCATTCAAGGTGTTTTTTTTCCCTATGAAGAGAATGGACCTGCTGCATCTCAACAATGCTTCCTTCCTTCCTTCCTTCCTTCCTTCCCTCCCTACTTCCTTCCTTCCTTCCTTCCTTTTCTTTCTTGTTGGTCATGGGGCTTGAACTCTGGGCTTGGGCGCTGTCCCTGCTCTCTTCAGCTCAAGGCGAGCGCTCTACCGCTTGAGCCACAGCACCGGTTTTCAAGTGATTTATTGGAGATAAGAGACTCACGGACTTTTCTGCCCAGGCTGGCTTTGAACTGTGATCCTCAGATCTCAGCCTCTTGAGTAGCTAGGATTACAGGCATGAGCCACCTGTGCCCGGCAACAATGCTTTCTTAATAGAAATATTTATTTCCAGCTTTTAGAGATAAGAAAAATAGCACAACTTGAGTCATTTCTGGAAGTGAGTTTTTATCCTTAAGCCTGAAAGACTTTTTTTAGGACCCTAACTGGTTTTGGCTCACTTCTTTTTGTCATGACTGTGTATAGTGGAAAGAATTCTGGGTGTGGGAGATGAACCAAGCCTCATCTCTATTGTTTAGAAGAAGATTTAGCCTTTTGGAGTTAGATTAGATTAAATATAAGATTCTTCCTGGCATGAAAAATCTGTGGTTTTCTTTAATTCTAACTCTAGAGGCAAACTCAAATACAATGTGAACCATTGATATCTGAAGCTGTTTTTATTTTGAAATGTGCAGTTTCTATTACCAGGAGTCCTGAGGGATTTGAGGAAGACAGGTGAATTTAAAGGAGAAATTAATACATGACTTAATTCTATAATCGACCAAATAGCAATGATCCAAATGCAAAAAATTTTTAAAAAGGGGGCATTGTCAGGGAACAGTAGATGTGAAGAAAGCTCACTCTTCTTTTTTCGTTAGCATATATTACTTGTACAAAGTGATAATTTCACTGTGACATTTACACACATGTATAAATCTATTCCAATCAAACTTACCCCATCACTCTTCCTTACCCTCTATCTCTTCTTAAAACAGGATCATAGATTTCATTGGTCTAGTTTCATACATGAAAACAAACTACTTTAACCCTATTTATATTCATTCTCCTTTTTATATCAGTTTTCTCCCATTATTACCCTATCCCTTGCCGCAACAGACCTACTGACCATCAACTTCCTATTAATTCACAGGTGACAAGGCTAGAAAACAATGATAAAAGCAGCAATAACAAAAATCCAAGGTAGTACAGTGTTCAGAATCAGGACTAAGAGTATTCGCTGTCACTCTGAGCACATAGATGGAATATGGACAACTTAAGAGAGAGGCTCATAAGACCAGCCACATTGTTAACAGGAAGTGCAGTTCTGTGAGGTCTAGAAGCACAATATAGTTTCAAAATCACACATGTGAGTACATTAATGCAATGCCTGTGGGTCACAAAGTGAACATCTTCAATCTGGAAATACAAAATGCTACATAATCTGAACCATTTTGAGTACCAGCCTGAAGCCACAGCGGGAAATCTCACATCTCATCTCATGTGACAAGTCAGAGTCAAAATACATAAAACATTTATATGAGATGCTAAAATGTTATATGAAATTTATCTTCAGGTTACATGTATGTGTATATATAGAACATAAAATGAATATTGTGTTTAGCCTTTTATCCCCAAACTATTATTTTGTGGAAATATTCCAAAATCAGAAAAAATTCTAAGTCCAAAACAATTTTGGATCCAAACACTTTGGGAAAGAAATGTTCAACCTGTATATATATGTAAAAATTCATGTGGATAATGTATCTCCAAGTACAGCACAGTTACAATAAAGGTGGAAATAGGGTGGTGCTCAGTTCTCTCTAGGGACATTAGAAGACTACAGTCTTCCTCAACACATAATTTTCTTCTTCCCATTCCTCTCTTCTCTCTTCTGTTCCTCTACCACCTCCTTCCTTTCTTCTTTGTTTTTCTTCTTTGTCATTGTTAAAAGTATCATTTCTCATGTGCCAGCTAATGTTCTAAGCATGATTCACTCATTAACTCATCCTCAAACAACCTTGTTTTTAAGATGAACTTTGAGGTTCATGGAGTTAAGTAAATTGTCCAAAGCAACCACTACTATTAGCAGTGGAGGTAGGTTTTCAGTTAGTTTTATAGGGCAGATGCAGAGAGAGAGTGTTATAGCGATAGATTACAGTAAGTCAAAGCACACATCTGGATAAGATTCCACACATCTGTGGAATAGAAAGTCCTTTGACATATGCAGGGTCAAAAGGAAGGGTAGTAGCAAGGTCATAGTGGGCCTTTGCATGCTTTGACAAAGGGTTGTACTTTATCACACAAGCAATATGGAGCCAGGGATACAGGTGGACCCATTGCAACAATGAGATGTACAAGTTGTTATGGCAAAAAACGAACTTAACAACTTTGGTGGGGGGGTGGGGGGAGGATCGGGTGGGAGGAGGGGAGGAGTATGGGAAGGGATGG